GCTAATCTACCAGTTCCTAAAATTAATTACAGTTCATTTAAAAGATGCAGTTACTTCTGCTCATTTAACTCAAATTCTAATGGACTATACAAACCAAATGAATGGTTGAAGTAATTATGCATACACACCTTTGATTAGGCTGCCCAACTAAGCAAACAAAACAACTTCTGTGGAATAAGGAGCAGTGAAGTACTTCTTGTGGAATAAACAAGAATCTATGATAAGTTCCACTTAAACTAAATAGAACCTAAGTGCAAATTTAAATACCATAGGCAGCTTTTCTAAAACAATAAGCCTCTATCCCAACCATGGTGGCCCAGGCAGTAGCTTGCCGACTTCAGTACTGGAAACCACATGGCAGCCACGGTTTAAATCCCTAGCCATCTGCCGGAAACACGCTGGGCACGCATGGGAATACCCATCCAATGGGCTGGAGGAATGGAGGAAGGGGATGGATTGCAGCATAACTGGACCCTGTGAATGTTGCTCTCATTTCTCTTTCTCTTTTATGTGCATGCACGAGTACTCTACCATGGATAAAGAAAATATTTAAAGACCAGAAAAAGTAAAGGGGAAATTAAACATTAGAGTGATTTTTAAAATGATTCCTTGGTTGTGATCGCTACAAAGAGGACACTAATAAGCAAAAATAGCCTTTGGTTTTATAGCTCAAATTTTAAGACTGGCACCTGTTAAAGAATAACATTTGATGAAAAGGGTGGAGATTTTGAGTCATACAGTATGAAACTAAAACTCGATTCATCAGTATCAAGAAAATTCTAAATACCACTCACCAAATATTTATATGGCATCTAACAAAACACATAATCCCAATGGTATGACATTTTATAGATTTTTTTTTCTCATTTTTCAGTGAAACTAGAACTCAGAAAACATTAACTTATCTGCCAGCTAATAGACAGTACTTAACAGCATCAGAATTAAACTCAAGTCTATTTTGGTATACTTAATTATCACCCTTTTTTCTCAGAGTGGATATGAATGTGAAATGCAGTAATTCATTTTTTAAATGTTAAGTTTCCTACATATATCCTTTAACAATGAAATCATCTAGTTTAATTGAAATCATATAGTTTAATTTATAAGGACCCTTCCAAATATTCCACTGAAGAAACCTATTTCTTTGTTTGTTTGTTTGTTGTTGAGAGGTTTTTGCTATAGGGTGCATGCACTCGCCTGAAAGAGAGACAGAAAGCGAGAAATCACCCCCCCAAGGGGGATGGCCACACGGCAATCCCTTCTCCTCCATTCTCCTCTTGGGATCTTGGGCACACACACACACACACCCGGAGTGAGTTTAAGCCACCGGGTCCAGGACTCGAACCGCGGTCGACTATATGAGAGTTCAGCAACACAGCCATTACACTAACTGCTGGTCCCAAGAAACCTATTTCTTGAAATAAAGACTAAGGAGCATGTGCAGTAATACATTGGAACAATAAGTCATGCATGTACTAACCAAGAGAGAACACACCAAACTCTCACCAGAAAAGTTATTAACAAGGATAAAAATAAGATAGGATAGTGAACTAGACACTGATGACTATAGGCTAAGTAAGTTTATATTAAGAAATCATTAATTATTGGGGCCAGCAGGTGGTGTGGTGGAGAAGGTGCTGGAGTCCCCACATGATTGACCATGAAACGTTTGAGTCTTGGGCTCGGCAACTGGAGAATCATGCTCGGCATGTGTGCTTATGTGTTCCAAGTCCCAAGAGCAGATTGGAGGAGAAGGGACTGTGGTATGGCCATCCCTCCTAGGGGGTGATTTCTCACTTTTTTTCTTTCTCTCTCTGGTGAGTATACATGCCCTATGGCAAATACCTAAAAAATAAAAATTTTAAATTTTTTAAAAATTATTACTAAAACAGCAAAACACTTTTTAAAAAAATTGAAATGGTTCATGGGGAGGCCTATTGAAATAGTTGGTATAAAGTTAGGGAAGGGGAGGCACTCTTAGGCAGGAAGGAAAAATAGTCAGGAGGGATACCCTGACAGAAGAAAGGCTGCTTGTGTGGATTTTGGATAGAACTTAGCAGGTTTCAAGATTTTAAACACACAGCTATCCTAGAAGCTTCAGAGAGCAGGCGCTCTATAGCTGTGGCCTGGCGTCAGAATGTCTTCCCCAAGGGACAGAAGGTGGCTTGGTGGGAAAAATGTAGTACTATCATGTTACTTCAAAAATTCTTCTGCTCTAAAATCTCCAGCCAATGTTCAGAATTCTTTTTTTGAAGTATATTTATTTATTTCTCCCATGAGTGGGAAAGACACAGAAAGAGACAGAGCAAGAGCATTCTAGCAAGGTCTTGACCCTCCAATCAACTCCCAGCCTCCCCAAGCCCCAGGTCATGGGCACACCAGATTTGGAAGTGCTCAGGAAGGTCTCCAGACAAGAAACGGCAACCTTCCCATGGGAGTCAGCCATGCAGAGCATTGCGTGACAGCTGCACTACCCTCCTCCAAGAATTCTTTTTTTAAAAAAAATTTTATAGAATTATTTTACTTAACTTTATTTATTTATTCATTCATTTCATATTCACTTGACTAGAGAGGGACAGAGCAAGAAAGAGAGAGAGAAGGGGAAAGTGAGAAAGCAAGCCACCCGATCTGGGACTTGAACAGTGGTAGGCTTCATGCGAGTTCAGTGCCCTTAACCACCACACCACCTGCTGGCCCCTCCAAGAATATTTTTAAAATTTTATTTATTCATTCACGTATTTTATTTTGACTAGAGAGAGACATAGAGAGAGAGGGGAAAGTGAGAAAACAAGCCACCAAGTCCAGAACTCGAACCGTGGTCAGCCATATGAGTGTCCAGCACCTTAACCACCATACCACCTGCTAGTCCCTCCAAGAATTTTTTAAACTAGGACTAAAATGTTCTACTTCTACAATGAAAGAAGTAATAATCAAATACTAATTCAAGTAATACACTCCCACCACAAGCCTAAGAATTCTAGAAAGATAGCAGATTGTATATTTAAGTGCAGAAGGCCAAATTAATGAGGTAGGGTCTACACCTTCAAGGAGCTGACACTCTCATGATTTCATGACTTATGAATAGAAGAATGACTCTATAAGGAGAGCAATCACCTGATTTTTTACAAGGCTAGACTCAAGAATCATAATAAAGAGTATATAATAGAACTAGTAAAATAATGGACAAGTCAGAGCATTCGTCATACCTACACAAGTATCTGCAACTTTTGAAACACTAATGTTGACCTCATGTGGTGGGGACAGAACATAGGGCAGCTCCGGCATTAATCAGCTTGGCACTTAGCACATGGAGATGGAGAAGCTCTTTCTGAAGAGGCTCATGCCCTTTAAGATACAAAGAGGTTGGGGCCAGCAGGTGGTGTAGTAGTTGAGACACTGGACTCCCACCTGGCTGACCGTGGTTTATGTCCCGGACCCGGAGGCTTGAAATTGACGCCTGGTTTGTGTGCATGAGTGCCCAAAATCCTAAGAGGAGAATGGAGAAGGGATTGCGACATGGCCATTCCCCCTGTGGAGTGATTTCTCACTTTCTGTCTCTCTGGTGAGCACCAAAAAGGCATAAAAAAAAAAAAAAAAATACCAAGGGGTTAATCCTGACACCTCAAGAAGAATTTGCATCCCAGAAAGAAAGTTCATGCTGTGTACACACAGGGCAAAAAGAACTGCAGAAAAAAATATATTTCCATAAATCACAGCAAATACTCTTATCAGTAGTAGCCTCACATTCAGAAATTAAGTGAATATGGGCATAAAACATATTTTCTTTACTCTGATTAAGTAACCCAAGTGGTGGGTAAATGCTTTAAATTTGGAATGGTTCAAATGAAAAAGGATTTCGCAACACTAATTTCAAGACATCTTGCTAAACTCCATCCTTACTATAAATACACAATTCAAAATAACAGCAGATGCTGGCGTTGTCTCTGTTTCAGGCACACACACATCCCCATCCTGTTGTTGCTGACCCCACACTTGGTTTACACTCATATGCTGCCCCCAAATAAATCTCGGGGATTACCAGGCCACCCCAAGGCCTCTCCACCCTAGGAAAATGTCTTTCAGCCTTCAGAGGCCAGCAATTCCAGGGCTTCATTTGATTAGCTGAAGTAATCAAAAGCCTCTATTAAGACGTAATTGCATCCTGGGAAAGGCAGCAAGTTAAGCCTTATCATTTTCTTTCAATTCTCTGTATGAGAAACTGAATTTCAGATACTCTTTCAGGTCTCAGTAACTGAAAGTGAAGATCCAGAGATTAAATCCTATCCAGAGGTGTGTAGGAAAGGACTGGGGAAATCGTCTTTGGGTAGTCTTTACATTCTATAGATCCTCAGTTCTGATCGACCTTTAGCCTCTGAACTCTCCTGTCCAGTGATTGGATTAACAAGACACAATGCAAAACAAAAGGTGAGAGGTACAAAAAGCTGGCAGAGTTAAAATGCACTGGTGCTAAGCTGTCTTCAATTGTCTTGCAAAACTGCAAACGTATATGTTTTTTACAAAGCCAGCTCAATGACTGCCAATGAGGAGCTGCTGATGTGCCTTAGGAAATTAATCATTTCATTTTAATATTACTAAATAAACTAGATTAATTTTGTCCTGGAGACAAACTCTTGAGTTCCTCCCTTAAGGACTTCCTTTGAAAGTGGTCAAACTAGTCACAGAAAATTTACCAAAGAAAAAAAAGTCTAAGTCGCCAACATCTTTCCAGGAGTGTCATACAAAAAGATGGCCTTCACAAACTTTCCTCGGGATATATCTATCCTTCAGTGTCCAGAAAAGAACGTTCCCTTCTCGGTAGACAGGGAAGTAAGTAAGAACACCTAAGAACAAACTTTGTTGGCCACCAGCAGGGGAGCTATTCAGCTTTTGTCCCCAAACCCATTCAAACAAAAGAAGCCCGGACTCCTCCATCCCACCCTGCCGACCCTCACCCCGCGGAGACTCTCCAGATCGCCCCTTGCCCCACGAGTCCCACTTACTCCTCAGAGCCCCAATGAGCAGAGAGCCGTCCTTAATGAGCTCTTTGATGAACTTGTTGGTTCGCTCCAGCTCAATCTCGTGACACTGCAGGCGCTCCCTGAAATCCGGGCTGTCCAAATAGGAATCGCTGAACTCCAAAGTGGGCAGCCCCATGGCAGCGGGGCTGCCAGCGGCGGCCGAGGGGCCGTCCCGGCCCGCGGG